GATTCGCCGCTCCTACCCTGGAGGCCGCAAGGCCCGCGAGCCCTTCTTGTAGCGCGAGGTCTCCTCCAGGTTTGGGTCCCCTGCTCTCTCGTCTCGGGGCACGCGCAGCGACAAGATTGGTAGGTTCTCAGCTCAACCCAGCTTTCCCTCTGCTCTGCTCGGGGAGCTAAATATGCCAATTAACCTCTGACTTGCAGCTGTTAGGCGTAGACTCGCAGTAAATATTTAAAAGGCCGGGAATAGTCACTTATGTACAACTATAGGGCGGTATGGAAATACATATTTTTAAAGCTTTCGTATTTGGCAAACTGTACCCCTTCCATCACATGAATGTACCAATTTAATTATGGATGTATGTATGAGGATGTCACTATTTGGTGAATCATTTTTAATTGGGTGGGGCGTTTTGGCGGGGGAGATAAAACATGGAATGTTGGCAATTTCTTAGGTTTCAACCTAATGTAAGTATGTTCATCACACCCCTGCGGCCATTATACGAACGCAGATCGCAAAGACACACGTCCATGCTGCGGGCAGGCATCAGATTTGGCTCCACGTGCCCACCCCAGCAAGAGAAGCCTGCTTGGAATAAAGTAAATGGTTTGCAGCCCAGCAGGACCCGCACCCTAGACTCATGTAATGTTATGACTGGAACATTCCCAGGATTTAGCGTAAGACAGACAAATCGCCACCACCCTCACTGCCATTTCACAAACGCCAGGCAGCCGCAGGGTCCCCCGCACGACCCCCGCACGAACTCGAGGACGCTCTCAGTAGTGGCCCCTTGGCAAGGGCACAATCGGGCAGCTTTGCTCTGCTCCCAGGAGGCCGCGCCCCCAGCTCTCCTGCCACGGAACGCCCTTGCAAAAGGGTGGGTGCAGTTTTGCAATCCTGTCCTCAATACTTCGGTCCCAATTCCAGCACTCAAAAGGCAGCAGTGTGATTGCTACCGAAAAGTCCCTAATAATTTGCAGGGCGTGGCGTCGCCTTCCTGAGTGAGCGCGGCAATCGCGGTGCGGCGACTCCGAGGAGCACGGCCCCGCCATCTAGCGGCGCCAGGGGGAAGAGCACGCCCAGTACCCGGGGCTCCTGTGGCCAGTGTGGCAGGGGGCAACTGAACTTCCCTTTTACATGAGTTTGGGAATAGGCTAGGGAATGTCTACAAAGTAGGGAACAGCCGAGTGGACTTCTTTGAGCTGATTGCATCCCAGCATTTAACTCTATTCGTTAGGCATGATTTGTCATGGGTTTGCATGGGAAGGTTATTACAGGTCATTTAGGATTTATTCTTGCTGCTTCTTGACCCGCACTGACTGTTCGTCCTCTAGCTTTTGCTCTGCCTACCCGGGTTCTCAGCATCTCATGTTGGAATGACACTTCCTAAGGTGGAGTCAGGTGGATACTACCTCCCCGACCTAACATTTCTGCCTCCTTAAGGCCTAGTGACTGACTGCTGCCCCCCTCCCCACTCCCACTGTTTTCTGTGGCTGACTGCTACCCCACCACCCCACCCACACTGTCTTCTAGTCATTTCTTCAGCTGGGAACTCACTTTCCTCAGACATTACTTCCTGGACACCTAAAAAAAATCCCTTAGGGCATCTGAGTGGCCAGTCAGTTAAGCAGCCAACTTCAGCTAAGATCATGTTCTCACAGTTCATGAGTTCCAGCCCCACATCAGGCTCTGTGCTGACAGCTCAGAGCCTGGAGCCTGCTTCGAATTCTGTGTCTCCCTCTCTCTCTGCCTCTCACCACTTGCATTCTGTCTCTCTCTCTCTCTCTCTCTAAAATAAATTAAATTAAAAAAAATCCCTTATTATCCACCTTCAAGCTCAAGTCAGATATATGCTAGGGGAAAGGACATTAAAAATTCTCCATCCAGGGGCGCCTGGGTAGCTCGGTCCATTAAGTGTGGGACTTCAGCTCAGGTCATGATCTCACAGTTTGGGAGTTCGAGCCCCACATGAGGCTCTGTGCTGACAGCTCCGAGCCTGGGGCCTGCTTCAGATTGTGTCTCCCTCTCTCTCTGCCCCTCCCCCACTCACACTCTGTCTTTCAAAAATAAACAAACATCAAAAAAATTATTTATCCACTATCAGGAAAACCTAGGAGATTCCAAAGGGTCTGCTTTTAGAGAATGTGCCCACCTCTGGTGGCCCCCTCCCACCACAAACACACAAATGCAGGCGTGTACATCCACACACATGACGGCCAGTCTGTGCCCCCAGAATGGTTCCCGTCAGAGAGCAAACCAAATGAAGGAAAAGGCCATTTTTCTAGAATTTTCTGCTGACATTTAGCTTGAGAAATGGAAAGTCTCTAAAGAAATTCATACATACATTAAGTGTATACATTAAGAGATATCTCGGGGCGCCTGGGTGGCTCAGTTGGTTGAGCGTGCGACTTCGGCTCAAGTCATGATCTCACGGTCTGTGAGTTCGAGCCCCGCGTCAGGCTCTGTGCTGACAGCTCAGAGCCTGGAGCCTGCTTCAGATTCTATATCTCCCTCTCTCTCTCTCTGACCCTCCCCTTTCATGCTCTGTCTCTCTCTGTCTCAAAAATAAATACACATTAAAAAAAATTTTTTTTAAAAAGAGAAATCTGATCCAAGCCTCCCTTAAGTTTTCACTTAAAAGGTGGCACCCTGCCACCTCATGGCCAAAGTGAACAAAGGATGCTCTTGGCCCAACCTGTGTCAGCTCACGACTTGGTGATTGAAGCTTCTTGGTTCAAAGCCTTAGAAACTTAAGGTGGGTGAGACCCAAACACTCAGATCCTCGCGACGAAAATGCAAACCTGTGCACACAGAAGTGGGATGCAGTATTTTCCCTAAATTCTATTTCCCCTCAATTCCCGTGCTGTCCTTCCCACCCTTTTCCACAATCACACCCTCACCAAAACAGACTCGGGCAGCTTAGGTGACAGCTTCAACTTCACCAACTAAGATGCACAGCCTCTGAAGCCAAGCTTGCTGCCTGCCTCCACCCACAAACCCACGCAAGCGGGTTTCCCACACAGGCTAAATGCGTGGCCTGATGGATTCAGCAAATGGAATTTTCATCTTCAACTACTGATACTGCTTTACTCCAAGCCATTTTGTACTGAAGGTCTGAGAAAGAGGAAGGCCACCGATAGAATTAAAATGAGTTTGGTCCTTAAAGGAAAAAACATGTTTGTCAAATATCCAATTTTATTTTATCATCGTTGCGTTGTTGAACACAATCTGCAGTTAGGGTCGGAATTCCCAGGCCAATAGATTTCTTAAAACCATACCACAGGAGTAAACCTTAAAAGAAGTGAAATCTAATACTATATAGATTTCCATTTCTAAATACAGTATATTACAGAAGGTTAAATATACCACCTCTGTTTACTTACAACTATAAAAAGATACATTAACTATACCAATTATAAATAATGTAGCATTTCGTATTAAAGGCATTATTATACAACAGAAGATTAAGAACCCTCTAATGTATTACTATCAAGGTTAGTGTCTAAAGTTGCTTGAGATAAAATCCTGAAAATTCAGTGTCTGAAGTCAAATCCTGACTTAGCAAGTTGCTGACAGTTTAAGTGATGTGTTAACTGATGCAGAGAAGGTGAATAGCGTATTGCCTATTTCTGACAAGAATGATAAACCCATTTCACATAGGACTTTCTTCATCCGTACACTGCTTTTGATGTCGATTTTCATTGTATTATTGCCCTCCCCCCAATTTAATTCTCAAACATAATTTAATTCCCAAACATAAGCACCATTAGAAAAGTACTAGTTAGTAACGGTAAAAGTATCCAAATAACGCAGTTACGTTTGGTTTTCGTTTTTTAAAAGCTATCTGGGAACGCTTTAAAACTTGGAATTGCACAGCATTTGCACACACAGGAAAAGAGAATTTCGCAACATGTTAGTGCAGTACTCAGGCCACTGTAGTAGGAGACCCAGTTCTTCCACGGAGTCTGGGTGTTATTTGTTAATTAATCATTAATTAATATCAAAATAGGACTTCAAAAAAGCCAGGCTGTATTTAAACAACAGCCAATGGCCTTTCCAGTTGTGTATGTTTTGCTAGTCTAAAACAGATAACCAAACTGGAGAAAAAGAAAACTACATAGGCTGATCATAAACCATTAATGCAAGGTAGAAATTGATATTCTGTAAAAGCGGAGTGTGGCTCTGATTTGTCAAACACGAGAGTTAATTATCCTAGCATTGGCTATGCTCTTGTAGTGTCAGAGCACTGGGTCCTTAGCAGCAATGGTGACACCAGTGATGTTCTCTGCCTAAGAAAGTGCCTTGGTTAAGGTCGACCGTGACATAGTTTTAGATAAGCATTTTGGGCGCTGATTCGATCATATTCCAAAAGGAACACTGGTTTTTGAGCTGAGTCCCATGGTCAATGTCGAGATGCAGTCCTTGAAGACGCACGCCCATTCACACCCAAGACCTTCAGTACCCTTCCATAGTACTGGACTCCCCAGAACTCCCCACTTTGGCTCCTCACAGTCCTGCTTTTGTTTTTGTTTTTAACTTAACGCTGTTTCTTTCCCACTGAATGCTGGGAAGGGCTTGTTCTGTGGGCAGGTGACCCTGAGGAAGCCACAGGTGCAGGGCTCTGTTTGCAGAACAACCCGGGAGTTTTTCCAAGTTCTTACTGGAGTCAGAGCCGGCAAAACATTTGTAAGTGACCGCTGGATACTTGAAATGCCACTTCCCGTTGGCCACACCCTGAGCCTCTTTACTGTCCCTGGGGACCTGGTTGAAAGGGAAACACAGAAACGGCCAATAGCTCCACCCCCAGGCAGGACTACAATTTCACACACAACATAATGGTCAATAACACAGGAGTGTGAGAGGAAAAGAAAAATCGTTCAAATCCAGTAGATGTAAAGTCTCCACAACAAAGTGACCCAGGAAGGCGGGCAATGCACGTTTTCTTCGGCAAGTTTGATCTGCCACATTCGGCTGTCCAACGTTTGAGGCAGGAGCCCGTCGTTCCCTCAGGGGCTCTTGTCATCGAGTTTGATGGTGACCGTTTTCACTTCTGTGTATTCAGCCAGCGCATATTCACCACTGTGATTACAGAAAAGAGGAGAATATAAAATGGGCATGTCACTTAGCGTTCTGTGGGAACCTGTGTTCAAACGCTTGGTTGGTCACTACTCTGGGGGGCAGTTCGGAGTCTACGCAAAAGGTCAGAATGTGATGACTTTATAGAGGAGAAGCCAGGACTGTAACATCATTACTATGTTTAAGTAACGGGATCTATAAGTTAAGTTTAAATATAACGTTTCTCGGGGGGGTTTCTGGGTGGCTCAGTCGGTTAAGCGTCTGACTCTTGATTTTGGCTCAGGTCACGAGCCCACAGTTTGTGAGTTCAAGCCCCGCATGAGGCTCTGTGCCGACAGTGCGGAGTCTGCTTGGGATTCTCTCCCTTCCTCTCTCTCAAAATAAATAAATAAATAAATAAATAAACTTAAATAAACAAAAGAGATAAATAAGTATCACGTTTTTTGGTGTGTGATGCTTTGGAAATATTTTCAGAAGGAATAAGTGCTTGTCTTTAAAGAACAAAAAGGGATGGAAATAAAGAGGTGGATTCCCTGAGTGGGGAGTACAGAGCGAGAAGAGGGCCTGCATGGGTGAACAAGGAGGGGAGCTGGAGATGTGGCCTGAGGATGTGCAAGGGGCAGAGACATGGAGGGCCTGGAGTTGACCTCAGAGTCTGCAGCTGGGGACCAGCTGTAGGAAGAATAAGGCCAGCCCAGAGCAGTGAGGGCAGCAGACATTAGCACAGCCTGGACACAAGGGGGACCACAGCCTTTGAGTTAGCCTCTCTGCTATCTGTCCCTTCTTTAAGTCTTGCAGAGCCCAGCTGACCCTTCTCGGGCGTCATGGGCCATCCTCCAGGCGGTCCCTCTTCCCAGAACTGAGATGCAACTTTGGACAGATTTAACTGCCTCTCCAACACTTGCTCTGCTGTTAAGCACATAAAAATGTGTACTTGTTGAGGAAAAGAGGTAGACGCAGAGGTGGCCCCTGGAGGCTCTGTCGCTAGGAAGACTTGAGACATTGTCCCATTTCACCCCTTAGATCAGGGGTTCTCAAAGGGTGGTCCCCAGGCCAGCAGCCTCAGCAACACCTCAGAACTTGCTCGAAATTCAGATTCTCAGGCCCCCTACCCTGCCCCTGATATGATGCCCCCTTCAAAGTGACCACATCTCAACCCGCTGCACCTGTGTGGCAAAGGAGAATTAAGGTTGCAGATGGAATTAAATTTGCAAATTAAAATAGGGAGGTTATTCTGGATTACCTGCATGGGCCCAATGTAATCACTAGGATCCTTAAAAATGTAAGAAGAAGGAAGTCAGAAGGAAATGAGACTATGGAAGCAGGTTCAGAGAGGTGCAACATTGTTGGCTTTGAATATAGAGGAAGGGGCTGCCAGTCAAGGAATGTAAGAAGCCTCCAGAAGCCAGGAAAGGCAAGAAAACATATTCTTTCCCTGGAGTCCCCAGAAAGGAAGGTAGCCCTGCAGACTGTCAGATTTGGAGCCTCCAGAACTGTATCAAATCATAAATTTATGCTGTTTAAACCACGAATTTTGTGGCAATTGACTGTAGCAGTAACAAAAAAACTAATACACCCTACTAAAGTGGGATCCAGAAATCTGTGTGTGTTTTTTTTTAACATTTTTAAAAAGTTTGTTTACTTATTTATTTATTTTGAGAGAGAGAGAGCATGCACACGAGTGGGGGAGGGGCAGAGAGAGAGAATCCCAAGCAAGCTCCATGTTCAGTGCAGAGCCCAACTCCGGGCTTGATCTCACAAAGCCATGAGATCATGACTTGAGCCGGAATCAACAGTCAGACACTTAACCGACTGAGCCACCCAGGTGCCCCCAGAAATCTGTGTTTTAACAAGCCAGGGGATTCTGATGCAGCTCAAGTTGGAGAACCACTGGTTTAGACCAATGTAGCTTAAGCAAGTTCTTTGTCTTCCCTGAGCCTCCATTTCATTATCTTTAAAATGGGCACATCATCACCTCCTTGCAGTTATAATGATTGGAGATAATTTAGTATAGAGCACCTCCTATGTGCTAGGCAAAAAATGAATGCCAGAAAGTAACATCATTATTTTGAATTAATATGTCTCTGAGAGTTTTTGGTAGTTCCCTAAAACAAATAGTTCAAGAACCCATGAGAATGAGTGAATTATTTTGTAATCTTTTCTAAACGTAACACAAAATATAAAAGCCCTATGCAGAATGCTGAATTGAACTTTCATAGAGCAGGAAATCCATCTACCCACCCCCACAAACAAATGACAAACTAGAAAAAAATTATGTTCACAATTCTATGTGAGAAACAGTGCTGTTTTCCTTCACATACAAAGAGCTCTTAAAACCCAATTTAAAAAAAACCCACACACAACCAAATGGAAAAGTCAACAAAGGGCATGAACAGTCAGTTCACAGAAAAACAAACACAGATTACTTAGTAAGTGTTAAAAATGCGCTCGATACCCTCACAATTAAAGACAGGCAAACGAAAAGAGTGGAAAGCTCATGTTCCGTGTGGCGGATTACCCAATTTTAGGAATTTATTCTGAAAACAATCTCCCACGAGTGCCTAAAGATTTCTGCACATGAAAGAACACCAGCATGGTTTGTAATAGCAAAAGCCCTTGGAAACAGCACAAGAGTCCATCATGGGAGACGCTTAATGCAAAGGATGGAAGGGTATCCAAAGCCCATTCTCAAAAGCAAAAAGTAGCTTTCTCTCCCATTTCATTTGAAAACAGTAAAGAACGCACACATGCACACCCACTGCATGCAAAGAAAATGCATAGGGCCTTTGTATCTTGTGCTACATTTAGAAAAGATTACAAAATATTTCTAACAGTGAGCATATTGTGTTGCACTGTTTAAAATCTAAAGTGGTTGGGGTGCCTGGCTGGCTCAGTCGGTTGAGCGTCCAGCTTTGGCTCAGGTCATGATCTCACGGCTCATGAGTTCGAGCCCTGTGTCGGCCTCTGTGCTGACAGCTCAGGGCCTGGAGCCTGCTTTGGATTCTGTGTCTCCCTCTGTCTCTGCCCCTCTCTCGCTGGTGCTCTGTCTCTGTCTCTCTCAAAAATAAATAAACATTCAAAAAATTTTTTTAAAAAATCCAAAGTGGTTAAGGATTTATCAACTTAGTAAACAGAAGTACACCAAATGATGAAAGCACGCTGCATTAGCTCATGAACTATTAAGTCCAGTATTCAACCATTCCTATAGGATGAAGTACATGAATCGCCTCGTTCTTCCTATTGCTGCAATCACTGCCAGAGTTCAAGTTCATGCTGCTCTTATTCAACCCACTGTGGTGTCTCCTAATGGGTTTCCTGCCCAGTCATGACTGTCTTGGCATGCAAAGCCATCCACGAGCCCAGCCATTCTCCTAGTAGACCTCATCATAACGTTGCAAGGGGCAGAGACTGGATCATATGTTCACTGCTATGTGCTCAGAACCCAGCACGTGCCTGGTGCACTAAAGGTGCTCATTAAACAGCTGCTGAGTGAACCAAGGAACACATGAACAGAATGAATGACTGAACAGTGATGACCGCTAACAAATGGGATTGAAGATCCGTGGCGGGAAGCCTAGGCTTCCCACATGCCTCTACCGTGTGGATTTCTGTTGTTGTTGCTTTCTGTTGTTGTTACTGCACAACAACCAAGAAAACTGCCCAGGAGGAAGAGGACTTGTAGGCTTCAGCCCAAGACCTGCACAGGAACAGCCCCCGGAGGGGCCTGTGGGTGGGCGGCAGATAGCCAGCCCAGTCCAGGCGGCCGGAGGTGGGGAAAACCACGGAATCCACCGTGCAGTGCTCCAGCACAGAGAAAAGGAGAACTAGATGCAACATGAAGACATTAATCAGGAACGACTGAAAATGGAAATTGGTTTGCAAGTCAGTTTCCAGGCTCCCTGGGAATTATGTTAAAGTACTTTATCTAAAGCCTTGGGAAAGTATATGCCAAGGGTCAAAAAAACACATTGAGAAAAGTCCCGACTGTGGCAGGATGAAACATGGGCTGTGCTCCGTGCCAGGCGGGGGTGCTGAGGATCCGGAGGCACAGTCAGAGCAGGGGGAAGGGGGACAGAAGTGACACAGGTGAGGAAAGTAATGAGCAATAGTCGGCGTGAGTGAGTGCACACTAGAAGTCAGGTGGGCCCCACACACCCTTGCCACGGCTTCCATATCCAAGGCCGTCTGGTTGGGGGCCCAAGTTCTTGTTGCAGCAGGAAGCTGTGTCTGGCCTCTGGTAGGAGGACGGTGTGGGATTCTGGGGCCCTCAGCTGTCACTGGTCGAAGGCAGCTGATTAGAGGACACCAATGTCCTGGCTGACTTCATTCCAGGTGGCTCACAGGGGTGACATCCCTGTTGAGGAAGGCCTTGTGGTGTGGTGGGTCCAAGAGTTCAACCTCACCCCTGTCACTTATGGGCAGTGTGACCTGGTAAAGGCAGGGACCCTCCCTAGCATCCTTGGGTTTCCTCATCCAAAAATTAGGGTAGTAGTACTAGCCATCTACAGTGAACAATGTTTGTGCCCAGCTATAATTCATACACTGAAGCCCTAACTCCCAAGGTGAAGGTATTTGGGAGGTGGTTATCCCCACGAATAGGATAAGCGTCTTTATGAAGGAGACTCCAGACAGCTCCCCTACCCCTCCACCATGTGAGGACACAATGAGAAGACAGCCATCTATGGACTAGGAAGGTAACCCTCGCCAGACCCCAAATCTGCTGGCACCTTGATCTCAGACTTCCAGCCTCCAGAACTCTCAGGCATTGAGAGATCAATGCCTGTTGTTCAAGCCCGCCTGTCTGTGGTGTTGTTATAGCTACCAGAGCACAATGAGACACCATCTCATAGATGGTGTGAGCGTGGAATCAATGAACACACGCGAAAGTGCTCTTACAGAGCCTGGCCGACTCTGTTCTCAGCAAATGCCAGTTGTCACCCATACTATGGCTGTTGGGGGGCCCTGACGGGGACGCAGGTGACCCCGGCCCAGGCCTCATGCCTCTCTCGGGCAGGTGGGTGTGAAAAGAAAATGAAGCAGAGACTCACAGAACACAACACAGACAAGCCACTCAGGGGATGAAACATGATTTCTGCAAAGGGTTTTCACCGCCAAGAATTTACTGAAGTTCCCTGAAGGGAAAACCAGCCATAGGAATTAGGACGACACCAATGGATACACTCTACTCAGATGTTCAGATGGTTCTGGCATATTTGCCATGACTCAGAAATGGATTAGAGAGAAAGACCAACACAGGGGAAGGGACCCCAATGCTGTGGAGACTGGTCAAAAGCATTTGTTCAGGGAGGGCAGCCAGCCCCGCTGTTTCATAATAACATCTTTATTAAGAATCTGGAAGGGGAGTTGCCCAAAAGCCCCAATAGGGCCCGAGCCGAGGAGAAGCATTTGAGTGCTCCCACTGGAAGATGCCCAAACGAGGACGAGGTAATGCATTTGTATATAAATAATACAAACTGTTTAACTAAGAGGAAGAGCTTGGAGCCCTTTGAGATGTTCCAGGAGCAGCCCTGCATGTTGTCACAGATGGTCCCCCTGGGAAGAGTGATCCTACAAGCTGTTTGTCCACAAAGACTAATAAAACCCCAAGCACCACCACGAAGGATGTGGGAGAGAAGGCATCGTCCAGCTGGAAACTGCAGTGTGTCCACTCCCGGAACGCTCTGTCCAGCCCTGTGTCTGGACCTTTTATCTCAGGCCAGACACAAGAAGGCCTGTCCGTTAGTCTACTCATGGAGTTCATCTTCCCAGCGGGCAAGATGGAAAGGAGCTCTGGAGGAATATGAGTGGGTTTGATGGAAGCACAGAGGACGGGGCAGTATGTCTCCCAAAGCAGCACCCAGAAGGAGCCAGAGTAGCCCAGAGTCTGTCCCCAGAGCCTCTGCTGGTGGGGTGGACAGCACCAGAGCCCGACCTGGGAAAGAGCCCATCTCCCCTGCTGAGGGCTAGAGTTTGTGGGAGTCTGGCAAAGAGTGCACTTTTCCAGTTCTGCCCCTGTCCTCACTCAAGGAGCCTATGCCAAGTCTCTAAGGAACATCTCCATGTGTGGTGGGTGCTGGGAAGGACACAGGAGCTGAGGCTAGAGGTTGGTCCTGGGGCCAGAAGGAGGGAAGCATGAGAATGAGGGCAGGGAAGGGCAGGAGTGGGAAGGCGGGAAGGAGATGGTGGATGGAAGGGATCCATCGCAGCCCCAGAGGGAAAGGGCCACCAGACTTCCTGACACAGCTGACCCAGCCTGCCACCCAGGAGCACGGGGCAAGGTCACCGGACTGGAGTACATGTCCCCACCACCCTGCGAACGTAGTCTATTTTTTATCCACCTGATGGTGGGCGTGCAGTAACAGAAATACTTACAGTTCTCTGCCATTTCCTGACATTTTAAAGCCACCAAATGGAGCCTGTGCGTAGATGGCATTATAGCAATTGATCCTGGAGGAAGAACAGAAGACGCTCATGATTACCTGGAGAAGACCCACCTGGGGTGCATGCATCTCGGCTGTCAGGCACTTGAAGCAGACTGTTGCCTCAAGAGTGACTTTTGTCTAAGTTTTAGTAATGGGAACAGGTTGTTCAACTTCTGTCTTCTCATTCTTCCCACCAGAAGCTAAAATTCGAACATTTTTTTTAATGTTTACTCATTTTTGAGAGAGAGAGAGAGCATGAGCGAGGGAAGGGCAGAGAGAGAGGGAGACACTGAATCGGAAGCAGGTTCCAGGCTCTGAGCTGTCAGCACAGAGCCCGACGTGGGGCTTAAACCCACAAGCCATAAGATCATGACCTGAGCCGAAGTCGGACACCCAAACGACTGAGCCACCCAGGCGCCCCTAAAATTCAAATATTCTCAAGGATAAATCTCTTCACTGGGATAGGAAGGGAATGTCAAGGGGGAGAAGAAAGGAGAGTGAAATTATGGCATAAGGGAGTAAGATTCAGCTTTGAAATGAGCTAGCCCTGACCTCAAAGTTCTCCTGCTTGGTCATAGGATTCTGGTCTTGTTACCCAGCCTCTCTGAGCCCCCATTCATGTTTATCAGCATTATCATCTTTACAATGAGGATGGGGTGCCTGGGTAGCTCAGTTGGTTAAGCATCCGACTTTGGCTCAGGTCATGATCTCACAATTCGTGGGCTCGAGCCCCGCACCAGGCTCTGTGCTAACAGCTCGGAGCCTGAAGCCTGCTTCTGCTTCTGTGTCTCCCTCTCTCTCTGCCCCTCCCCACTCACACTCTGTCTCTCTCTGTCTCTCAAAAATAAACATTAAAAAACATTAAAAAATAAAATGAGGATAATGTCATCTGCAGGATTGCTGGTAAAGCAGGGACTTTCACCCACACTTTGAACAGGACCATGCGCTGCTTTTAGAACCAGAATACAAAATTAAAGCGAGAGGGAGTGAAGTCCAAGGGACAGCACGACACGGTGGTCAAGAACATGGACACCAGAGCTACGCGGACACCAGAGTTGCCCAGTGGGCTGTGGGCTCTGCTATGCCACATACTAGCCATGTGACCCTAGGCAAATCACCCAGTCTCTCTGTGTCTCGATTTTCTCATCTGTAACATGGAGACGATGACGGTCCCTGTCTCAGAGGCAGTCATGAGTATCGAGCAAAGCACTAAGGCAGTGCTTCGCACATAACATACAACTAGCATCTCTCTGTCGACAGAAGAGTAATGAAGTTAGCAAGTCAGCAACTCAGGAGAGCCGAAACACGCACACCCTCTACTCACCAGACTGTTCCAGACTCCAACGCAGAAGCCAGCTTCAGGGCCTTGTCGAGGTTTTTTGTGAACACGGCTGCTGTGAGTCCATATTCAAGGCTATTTGCCCTTTTTATCACTTCTTCGATATTTTTGAACTTCAGTATTGGCTGCACTGGTCCAAAAATCTAGGATTAATTGCAAGAATGGCCATGAGAGTCATGTTAGAACGAAGCACACACACTCTGAGCAAACACTGCCTTCGTTTTATGCCTTCTCCATGTACCCAGAGTGCTTACATGCAGGAGAAATGACGACCAGAGGAAAAAGAATGTCCAGAGATCTTTTTATTTACGTGATGGTTGACATCTGAAGGGAAGGATTACAATGAAAAATTAAAATATCAACTGAAAGTATGTTTCAGGCTTATGATCTCTTATTGTCATCAGGGCTTCTGAGAAGCCCCAGCCCTTGAGCTTTGGCATAGACCCTGCATACTGACATACACAGAAGACAAAACTTTCCAAGTTTTTCTTGGAGAAAGTTATTGCCAAGGGTGTTTGCAAGGCACAGAACACACATAGAACTGTGTGCCCCGACCTCTTGGTGGTACATTTTCCATCAATGAATATGCCATAAAATGTTTCCCTAATAACTCCCAGGGGAGGGGATGAGACAGTGTTCCTTGTTATGCAAAATAAAAATAAAAATCCGATAAAAATCTTTAGGAGAAAGTCTGTAAAATACCCCCACAGGAAGGCAGTAATTCACTTTCTCACACATCCCAAAAGACCACATCCCAGGATCGAACCACCCAGGAACCTAGGTGGGAACCAGTTTCCATCTAGATTAATGGTAAGAGTGAAATACAAAGTTAGAATCACACTTTTATGGAGGTCATAAGGAAGTCATATGGAGGTCCACCATTTGCAAAGATGCTCATGGTGGAAAACTTCATAGAGAATTCCAGCCGTGAGGTGTTCTTTGCATCAACACACTTGTCATTTCAGTTCAGTCTAGGGGGAATGAAGGCAGCTGTGGACTGTGAACCTATAGGCAGCAAGAGCCTTCCAGCATGTGCTAACCCAAGGATGTGTCAGAAGACAGAAGAGGGACGGTTGATCCCCAGAGATGTGTGAAAATGGGGGGTTTAGAACAAACTCTGCACCTGCTATGCAGTGCTTGGGGTTCCCAAAGGCAGGTAGGCAAGATGGCTTCTCTCAGGACCCCAAAGGAGAGGAAGAAGGCCACAGGAGAAAAGAAAACGTTCCCTGCACAAAGACTTCTGGGATGCCCAAGCCCTAAAGAAGACTTCTATTTGAAAGGCCCAGCCCTCTCCCCCTTCGAGTCCCATAAGAGTCCCCATGGAATGAAGCTTTTCCTGCAGTGCCCAGTACCTCCTCTTTGGCAATCCTCATGGTGTCAGTAACTTCTGAGAAGACCGTGGGTTTAATGAAGAGCCCCCTGTCTTCCATAGCCGAACCCCCACATTCCAGTTTGGCTCCCTCCTTCTTCCCACTCTCGATCAGATCGAGGATTTTGTCAAATTGCTTTTGGTCAATCTGCAAAACACAATGAGAAGTACAGCCTGGATTCCTTCTGGGCAGTGGCTGCCATCTTATGAGTCCAATGGCCTTTCACATGATCAGCTGTCCTACCCCTAAATGTTCTTGCCAAGTCGTAAGTCATGGAGCAGATGTGCCTTGTATACAAATACTCCTCTGATGCACACATCTAGGCTCTTTGGAGCAGGGGAGAGAGGGGGAGATAGGCTCTTCTCATCCTCTCTAGGTGTAGGGTTTATTCATATGACTGACCTCTTCCATGCTGTTAAGCAAATCCATGAATGAAACAAGATCTGAAGTGGTCACGTTCTTTGCTCTCCCAACTTTTCGCTTCCTGGGAAGGCTGCCAGATTTAGCAAATAAAACTACAGGATGCCCAATTAAATTCGAATTTTTGAAAAGCAATAAATGACGTTTTCAGCATAAGTATATACCAAACCAATGTTTGGTAAACGTCATTTATTGCTTATTTGAATGTCAAATCTAGTTGAGTGCCATGTATGTTATCTGGCACCCCTGTGCCCTTCGCACAGGGCACCATGGATCAGCGTAACAGTTACTGGAATTTTCCATCCATAATGTGGAGAAGTAGGAAGGAGAGCTAACCACTGTACCCAGAAGCCCCAGAAATACAGCAGAGTAAGCCTGAAGGTGAGATGGATGGGCTGCTTGTTTGTAAGGAGCCAGGTCATCAGAAAGGCTCCACCTTCTGCCACCTTACCTAGGAATCTCCTGGGCTAGAATGCACCCTGTATCACTAGCCTAACACTCTGCTCTTGGACATGGCACCCAAAGAGCTGTCAAAGGGCACCCTTTTTGTGAGAATGTGCTCAAGGGAAGAAGTGCTATCCTCATCCCCAGTAGGCTTTCTTCCCTAATCCATGGGTGCCCTGTTCGTGACCATGACCCAGCTGCTAAGTCCCTTCCTCTTTGGCTGAGAGAGACAGAGTTTTGACTGTGATTGGTTTGCGGTAACTGAGATTTTTAGACAGAAAAACTGGTTTTCTTAAAACAATTTTAATTTTTTTTTTCAACGTTTATTTATTTTTTTGTGACAGAGAGACAGAGCATGAACGGGGGAGGGGCAGAGAGAGAGGGAGACACAGAATCGGAAACAGGCTCAGGCTCTGAGCCATCATGCCACAGAGCTCGACAAGCGGAGGCTCCGTCTCTACGGACCGAACCAGCAGATGGTCGTGACTAAGCTGAAGTCGTGACGCTTTTCTTTCGACATGGCCTCCAGCCACCAGCTAGTAATTAAACAATTTAAAAAAATTTTTTTTTCCACGTTTATTTATTTTTGGGACAGAGAGAGACAGAGCATGAACAGGGGAGGGGCAGAGAGAGAGGGAGACACAGAATCAGAAACAGGCTCCAGGCTCTGAGCCATCAGCCACCTAGGCCTGAGCTGGGCTATGCACTCCACCACCACAGCATCGTGACCTGGCTGAAGTTCGGACAGCTGCTGCAACCCACTGCCACCAGGTTACAAACAATTTTAAATTAAAAAAGAGAAATAAGCAAACCCAATGGTGTATTTGGATGACTGTTCCTGAGGAGCAGGCTGGCTTTTTCAGAACCAGTGGGCACAAATCATGCACGTCCCTAGACCAGTCATCTCCTGAAGTGCGGATCCAGTGTTAAAATTCCAAGTTTTGGATCCTTGTACCAGGATAAATTCCAAACAGATCAAAAATTAAACCATGAAAAATGAATGCAGGGAAGTTCTCAAATTCTCTCATGTGGGAGAATACTTCTGTAAATATTGGGTGTTGATGGTCTTTCTATGATGTGAAACCCAAAAGCCAAAAAGAAAAGATGATAAATTTGAGTATATTATATAAAAAAAAATGCAAAAACATCATAAGCAAAATCAAAGGGCAAAAAACAAACTGGAAAAAAAAACTGACAAGTCATTTCATAGAACTGGAGCTAATTTCTCTAGCATTTAAAGAGTTCCTGGTGCCTGGGTGGCTCATTCGGTTGAACTTCCAACTTCGGCTCAGGTCATGATGTCACGGTCTGTGAGTCCGAGCCCCGCATCGGGCTTTGCGCCGACAGCTCAGAGCCTGGAGCCTGCTTCCGATTCTGTGTCTCCCTCTCTCTCTGCCCCTCCCCCATTCATGCTCTCTGTCTCTCTCTGTCTCAAAAATAAATAAACATTAAAAAAAAATTAAAGAGTTCTTAGAGGGGTATCTGGGGGGCTCAGTCTGTTAAGCATCCGACTCTTGATTTCAACTCAGGTCATGATCTCAGGGCTTGTGAGATCTAGTCTCGCTTATGGCTCTGAGCTGACAGTGCAGAGTCTGCTTGTGGTTCTCTGTCTCCCTCTCTCTCTCTGTCCCTCCCCTGCTCTCTATCTAAAAATAAATACATATTTAAAAATAAAAAATAATGAGTCCTTGGAAATGATAAGAAAAATGACCAGAAATATAAGGAAAAAATATGCAAAGCACCTGCAGAGTTTATGGAAAAGGGACTGCAAATAGCTTTTAAACATGATAAGATGTTCTGCCTTACTCCTTATAAGAGATACATGTGTATTAAAACTAAGTGAGATACGGTTCTTAACTCTCGGATGGGCAAAATCCATATCCTATTAGTAAGGCTGGAGAAACAGACAAGCTCACACAAGGTTGGTATAACATAAGTTGGTTCATCCTCTTTGAAGGTAATTTGGCAATGCTTGCAGAAATTACAAATGTGCTCCCACTCGGTAATCCCACTTGGGGACTCCGTCCCACTGATGTCCTTGTATGTTTACAAAATGACATACAACATCGTGTGTAACTGCACATACTGACATGTTCATCAGAACATGTCGTTTGAGGGGTGCCCTGATGGCTCAGTTGGTTAAGCGTCTGACTCTTGTTTGGGCTCAGGTCATGATCTCACAGTTTGTGGGATCGAGCCCTGCGTCAGGATTTGCACTGACAGCGCAGATCAGGATTCTGCTTCAGATTCTCTTTCTCCCTCACTCTCTGCCCCTCCCCCACTAGCACACGCATGCATGCACATGCTCTGTCCCCCTCTCTCTCAAAAATAAATAAACTTTAATTAGAAAAAGAACATGGTAAGGGCGCCTGGGTGGCTCAGTCTGTGAAGCATCTGACTTCGGCTCAGGTCATGTTCTCTCGGTTCATGAGTTCGAGTCGAGCCCTACATCAGGCTCTGTGCTGACAGCTCAGAGCCTGGAGCCTGCTTCAGATTCTGTGTGCGTGTGTGTGTCTCTCTCTGCCATTCCCACATTCATGTTCTGTCTCCCTCTCAAAAATAAATACAATATTAAAAAAAAAAGAACATGTGATTTGAATCCTGGTGAATTCATAAAGCAGGATTCTATGTACCTGTGAAAAAGAATGAGGCAGGTTCTCATGGCCTGGTATGGAAAGGTCTTCAAATTTCTTATTAGAACACAAAAACCAAGGTGCAAGCAGTATAGATGTCATAGTTATCTTGTGGGTGAAAACAGGGGAAATCAGAACACATATTCCTGTTTGCTTATATATACATAAAGAAATTCTGGAGGGCTATGTGAGAAACTAAGACTGTGGGGTACCCACGGAGGGAAGGTTAAGAACCAGGTCCGTGCAAGAGGAAGAAGGATGGAAGAAAGACTTTTCTCTATTGACATTTAGATGTGCCCTAGGTTTTAACTCCTATGTCTGCATTCCCGCCTAGAGAATGAATTTAAACAACTGTAATGGATCCAGGAATATCTCAAGGTTCTCTCAATTTGTCTCTGGATGAACCTGGTCTTGGGTTAAAAGTTCCAGGACTGCTCTTTCCTCCTCCCCAGAGGCCAAGAGGGCTTGTAGGGCTTTATCAAACTATGGGTCCTGAGTGGCTGTGACCATTCTCTGCCTGTAAGACCAGACTTCTCACCTGTCTGTCCTATAGGCAGTGCTGGGGTCCCCGTGGAAAGCCTGCATATCCAGACTCAACTTTTCCTGATGAGTCCATGTGAACACATTGTCTAAATCTAATAGTCCTCCAAGAAATGGCAGCTGGTGACTTCCAGTGCTGGAAGAAGACCTGCCAGAAGTGAATGGCCCGGTGGGGCACAACACCAGAGACGGAGTCAGACGGACCCCGAAGGACAGGTGGAAAGTTGCACTGGGCTCTGCTGGAGAGGGCACTGGATCCTGCCCCCACCAGGTGGCCTGTGCAGTGTTTATGTGCCTCGTTGCCAAATAAACCTAAGAGATTTTGGAGCATTCGGCAAAGCAACTGCCTGCAGTGGACACCGATCTAGGTCAGCTAGCTGTTTTACAGGCATGAGACAGACAGGACTGACTATTTGGACAGCTGTAAATCCTCTCTGAGTAAAAATCTTATTACCATAGATGAAAAAGCACTTTGGGAGAAAAAAATCCAACAGTGTCCTAAAATAATATGCTGAGGTTAGGCGGCTTAAGTGAGCTTTCAAAAGGACTTTTAGCAGCAGCATCAAAAGCACCGACGAAATCAACACCCATTCTGCTTGGATCTGCTCTCTTGGAAGAGGTTTCTGTATTTGGCTTCAAAAGTCAAGCCTGGAGCCTTGGAAAGAGACTTATGAATAATGATGGGGTGAAAGGGTTTCCTTACTATGGGATCAGCTCACATATTTCCCACGGAGTCTGGATTAGCTTTACAATGACGGTGGGTTTGATAATGACTTGTGGCCATGTTTGCATTCAGACCTGAAATCCAACCAAGGCCACTGGACAACTTTGTGTCACTGGCCGCTGGGTTTGGAGCTGAGGTCTGGCAGGGTGGGGAGTTTTGGCCACAAGCTGAGATGCTTCTCTCCACCAGGGTCACATGGCATTGGAGCCACAGAGCATGTGGGCTGGGAAAAGGCAAGGACGGGCACTGTGGCCAGAAATGCACCTTTTCCACGTGGTCCTCCCCCTTCCCCAGCCAGATCGTCCCCACGGGATGGTCAAGCAAGACCTGACCGACGTGACCTGAAGTCATGCACAGACATTCATTGCTACCTAGATCAGGGAGGCTGTCATTTAATGCTCAGCTCCCCTCCTTAAAAAATAAAGACTTATTAGGTGCCTTGAAATATTCATAATATTCATCCATTACTCCCATTTTCCAGACGAGGAAACTGAGGTTTGGAAGGAGCTTGGGACTTTCTCAAAGTCATAGAGCCAAACTTGCACTCAGATCCATGGCTTCCCATGTAAACACATGGTGCCACTGCAGTGGGCAAGCAGCAAGTTCCCAGAATATAGACATAAGTAGGTGAGTCTTGACACGTGATTTGAAACTTCGTGGCTGGGGCAGGACTTCGGCTACGAGAAAAGTGGGTTGCTGTCGAGCTCTATTTCAGTAATGCATGGGATGGTCAGGCTGCCCTCTTTTAAATATTTATCCATCTGCGAGCACTGCATAATTAGCAAGAAAGTGATACAGGATGTGCCCTTTTAAAGAGGTTATTAAACCTCGTGGTTATGATCATTTTCATCCTGCCGTTAGTTTCGAAAACCAGGCCTCCAGTGACATGTTCCGCCCGCCCAGAGAGGCATCCTGGTTCCCAGAGCCCTCTCCACTGGGGCTCTTTGGTTTCTGACGGTCACCTTGTCCTATAGCACATGTGAGCTCCAGGGCCCGGAGGCTGAGACTGCTCTGGGTACTTTGCCTCTGCTTGCACTTTGCTGCCTTTCGCCCAGGGTTACAGCCCCTCTTTTGTAGGGAAACCAGCCAAGTCAGACAGCCTCTGCCTGGGTCTCTCCTCTGGGGATCCTGGCGGCTCAAAAATTGGAGGGTCCTCTTGGCTGGAGGGTGCAAGCATAAGGCCTTCTGATCTGGGAGCGCCTCCCTCCTGCCAAGGCCCTGAGCTTGGCATTATTTGCTGCAAAGAGCAACACACAGGGGTGTGTGTCCGCTCCCACTTTAGAAGCCCAGAGAGACCTGACGGGACTGCCCTGTCCCTTGATGGCGCCTCAACAAAAGCCTCAGGAGGCAAGCAGCCTCCCTTCTGCTTCAGGAGGGACCGTGGAATCAAAAAGCACCAGAGCTGTAAGGGGCTGTGGTCAAAGGGGCTGCCTGGTCCAGCCTCCAGACGCGCAGCGCAGGGTTCCCACACATCGGTAGGTTACCTGGGGCCCCTGTTCCGTTCTGACATCGAAGGGGTCTCCGACGGGACGTTTCTTGGCGTATTCCACGCTCCGCCTGACGAACTCGGCGTACACCTGCTCCTCCACGAACACCCTCGAGGCGGCCGTGCAGCACTGACCTTGGTTGAAGAACACTCCCTGATGGGCGCACTCCACCGCCAAGTCCACTGGAGGGAGGGGAGCAGCGGGGGCAAGAGGAAGCGATTAAGTCGTTAGGGCCGGACTGGTGACAGCTGCAGCTCTAATTGCCGGCGCAAGAAAACAGGCCCCGGAATGGCTGCGTTTCAGAAATTAATTTTATTCTCGGCATTTCCCAACAGAGAGGATGGGAAAAGGGATTTTCTGGTTCGCTGGGAGTGGGGGGTTAAGTGAGTTCTGGGACTGCTGGACTTCTTTACTATGCTAATGAACTCGGAGAGTTGTAGTAATCCTCCCCTCCACCCCCCTCCGTTCACCTGCTCGTGGATCCCTCCCCTCCCCCTCTCGGGAGGACTCCCGTTCTATAGATTAACCTTTGGTAAGTCTGGATGTAGGCCAATTGGTGAGAGCTTAAAAAAAAATTTTTTTTTAATGTTTATTCATTTTTGAGAGCAAGAGAGAGAGCACGAGCAGGGGAGGGGAGGACAGAGAGAGGAACACAGAATCCGAAGCAGGCTCCAGGCTCTGAGCTGTCAGCACAGAGCGGTGGTGGGGCTGGAACCCAGGAGTCCTGAGATCCTGACCTGAGCCAAAGTTGCTGCTTAAACAGACTGAGCCACCGAGGCGCCCCCGATTGGTGACAGCCCACATTTTCCACCTTGTGCTTCCTTCGCTTATCAAGTCCTATTAAGCAAGCTTCTTTTGCTTATGAAGCCTTACTAAGCAGCATGAACTCCATGTAGAACTTATATGGGTTAAAAAAGAAAGCAGGGATCCTGCCTCATGGGGGCTGAATCTGAACTGGAGAGCAGGCACCGAGTTAAAACTAGAAGGGTGCTTAGTAAGTAAAACCTTTGGGGATGTGCTTCATGAAAAAGAAGTGCTCAGTGGGTTTCCCTTTAGGGTTCACAGGATGGCCTCTTGTGCGTGCTCCACTGTTAGCTGGTTTTTCCACATCCCCCACCCCTCCAATACACACACTGCTGCTTAAGACATGCAGCTTTGCCATGAGCAGGTGATCCACAGACACCCAGCACTGCTCTGAGGCAGCTCTGAGGACTGCTGGCCTCCACTTTGAGAACCGAGCCATTGCTCTCCAGCAGGACAGTCTGTAGAAGTCTCTGGATCAGCAGACAGCACCGTAAGGTTCTGGCTTTCCCTGACCCTCTGTGCCAACTGCCCCTCCCGCATCCTGACAGGAGCCAGGGGTAATGGCTGCAAGTGGTGGGGAATGGGGGCATGTCACCATTGACACTATGTCTGGATGCCCAGCGACATCTGAATTTACTTTTGTGGACTGGTGCTGCCTGGATGAGAAGCAGGAAATGGCTACTACATAGGGTGTTTGTGACCCTTGTAAAACCAAGCCTCAAACATGGAAGGGTTTTGTGTTTTAGCTGCAGTTTTTTTTTTTTTTTTTTTTTTTTTTTTTTTTTTTTTTTTTTGTTGTTTGTTTGTTTGTTTCACCGAGGGGGTAAGAAGATGAGCTGAAGTGCAGACGGGGCACCCAGATATGGTGGCACAAGAATGCAAAACAGGGGTCCTGGCTCTTCAGGATTGGAGTTGGGGAGCCCAAATGTGGCAATACCCAGAACTGTTTCATGTGGCTCCAGAAACCATCAGCAACACGAATGATGCTCCCACAAGGGCTACCAATCCAGGTGAAAAACGAGTCCTGTCTTCATGCCCAGCTTCCCTCTCCTTCCTTGAAGCTTGTTTCCTCCCTCAGGCCACTCTCCCATTGAAAGCCAGCTTCAAGGAGAGGAAGTCATATCAGTCATTTACACCTTAGCAAGAAATTGGGCTAGGGTCATTTTTCTCAGGGATATTTGTAGTTCCAACCTTATCTGAGCGTGGAATGGAAGGCTTTGTTTTCCGTGAGAGGAATTTCTGGCACCAGTGGGCAGGTGGGAGAGGCTACTCTTTAGGGTGCTTCAGGGTACTTGGGAAGTGACACCTTTTGGCGGCTGACCCTATCAGCAGGTGAATGAATGCCCGATGTGGCCCTTTCTTCCTCCTTCTGGACACAGCAGCCAAGAATAGCATCTATTTTCATATTGTGCATCCATGAAGCTCTAGCAAGACACAAACTGCCCTCAAGCAGCTGGGCAGGGTTGCTTTCTCAAGGTGGAGGGAGAGAGAGAGAGCACTCAGACCAGGGAGGTAATTCTAAGGGTCAGCTGCCACTGTCCTCTCATCTGTCAGGCCTGAGACAAAGAAGGAAGAAACATCTCAAGTGTTCGGAGAGCCTCAAAGCACTGTAGGAAATACTGACTGCGAGGGTAGAGTGATTAATGCCTGTGAGTGGGGAGCATCTGCCCTGCTCCTCCTTGTCTTGGCCCCCTCCCTGCACACAGGACTCTGGAGAAGAATCTGGACTTGCTCCCCATGGCCCCAGCTCTGCAGGGACAGGCGACGTAAACTTAATCTTCAAAGGCAGAAACAGGCAGCCTCTCCGCCACCACATGGGACATATTTTCCTCCAATGCAGCTTTCTATCAGCAATAAAGCTGGTGTTTTGATCTCCATCTGCCTACTTATGGCAGGACAACCCAAGGTGGAAAAACAGCCTGTGTGTGTGTGTGTGTGTGTGTGTGTGTGTGTGTGTGTGTGTGTGTCTGTCTGTCTGTCTGTCTGTCTGTCTCAATTGGTCCTGAATTTGGGCAAGGAAACAGGGAGAGGTTTATGGATCCCATAAAGCCCCAGCAATGCCCACAAGGGGAGAGACTCACGGTCGGCATCAGCACACACGATACAGGGGTTTTTGCCCCCAAGCTCCAGTGTCACTCTCTTCAGATTGCTTCGGGAGGCGGCTTCTTTAACCAACTTTCCAACCTTCAGGATAAAAAACAGACCAGATGAAACCTCAGATGGGGCCAGGCATGGCCTGAACATTCCAGCCTAGGAGGCAGTGAGCACAGCATGCCCAGGGCTCCCCTGCCTCTCTGCCCAGGTGCCCCAGGCCATGATAGTGTCTTCCCACTCCCTGCATCTCATGCATCAGATCTTGACATCACTGGAATCCTTGGTCCAAACTGTTCCACTTACAGGGGTGGAGTGGGAGCCTTTGGAAGGCCCAGCGGTTCACCCACAGCCACACAGCTGGCTAGGGGCACAGCCAGCTACCCGCTTGTCCTGGTGCCTGTCCGTCCTGGCAGCAGGCTGGTCCTGCTAGTCTGGCAAGGGGCCTGAGGGGACCAGCCCCCACCAGTAGGGGAGGTGGTTCCGTGTGGCTCTGTGGTATAATCTCAGGGAACCTCCAAATGTTGGGGTAATAGGGAAGCCGACCTTCAGGATGAGAAAGGGCCAATTCTCTGAAAACAGACTCAAGACTGAGGCTTCTCCAGGGGGGAGGGAGAGAATGGGCGCGCTGTGCAGTAACAGAGGGACCACCTACCAACCTCCTTCATGTCCCTGATGGGTCTCTCTTATCAATCCACGTACTGCTAGAAGCCAGGCTGGGCCCGTCACACAGCTGGTGCCGCACACCCAGAGCTGGGAAGACTCTCAGAGACCAATGTGCACACAGAGGCTTGGAACCAGGCAGCTAAGCTAGCAAGAGGCAGGGCTGGGCTCTTCTAGGGCTGAGGCCGTTTCCCCAAAACTTGAGTGTGAGTGTGTTTTAAAAATTGTCCAGCTCACGGTTGCTGGACTGGAATGATGCTTGGAATAGTTCCAGAGTGACAGTGATTGTCCCCTGAGAGCAACCACAGCAAGACCAGTCTGCCATGGGCTGGCGATTCCTTGTGGGGTTGAGGGGTGCTCTCACAGGTGGACGGAACAGGGGCACTTAGGGTAGGAAAACGTGCTGAGCGCCCCCCGGCTGTTACGACGCCATGCAGGGCCCCAATTCGGTTCTGACTAGGCTTCTCTAGCAGGTTCACCCCAGCCGGCAGAGGAGGGTGGTTATGGTACTGCCCTCTCAGGCTCCGAGCTGGACGAATCTTAGGGGGAGGAAGGAGACACTCACTGCACGGACAGCGTTTATTCTGTTTATTCTGTGTTCAGTGTTCTTTCTCAAGGACGAAATATTAAAAAATAATTCCACACGCATATGTGTGTCAGTTAAAAGGGGGGGAAGTTCTCATCTCCCCTCACCCTGTGGCCCAGGACCTGCCCAGAGGTGGCCACAATTGAGAATTTCTTGGGTACCCTTATGAACGATTTCTATTTCTCCACACCCATGCTTTTACCAGTGCGATCGTCCCAAAGATACTTTCCCACGTTTTTGTGCTTCAATCACAGAAGCAGGACAGTTTTCCTTATTGTAGGGTCTGCAACACGGCGTACAGAATGGGTACCGTATACCTGACAGTATACGGGGAATATTTCTGTAAGTAGTTGCTTTGAAATGGCATTTCTGGAGCACAAGTTTGACGCTTTCAAATTTGTGGTCAGTGCTGCAACATTGCCCTGCATCCTGGTACTGGGGTGGGTGAGTGCCCATTTCCTGGTAACGTCAATGATATTGGATTCCAATTTTTACCAATCTGATGGACAAAAAAAGAATCTGAATTTCATTGGATTTTGCATGTCAGACAAAACCAGGAACTTAGGTCAAGCTTATTGGACATTCGGAACTTAGGTCAAGCTTATTGGACATTCGGTGTTTCTCTTTTCTGAATTACCCATTGTCTTATCATTCAGCGTGCTTTCCGCACGCCCCCCCCCCTTGATTTTTAGGGATATTATGGATTTTAAGCCTCGGAGAGCTGCATGAATTATAACTGGTTTTCTCCCAGCTTGCTATTTATCCTTTCCCTTCAATTGTGATGTTGTTTGTCCTCTGGATGTTTTACATTTTTATTTTATCTTATCTACCAATCTTTTCTTCTAAGGCTTCTGAGTTCTATTAGACATTTATTTAGTTTGGAAACTCGACCAGTGACTTTATTTATTTACTTATTATTATGTTATTATTTTTACTGATTGTTCTGTATTAAATAACACGGTCATATTTAGAAGGATAATAAACCATAGTTCAGCTCCTCAAAGGAAAAGTTCCCAGGTCTCAGATCATGCAGTGACTGCTACTTTTGCCCACAGCCAGTGAGGAAGGTTACCTCTGTAGACCCCGTGAAGGCTAGCTTGCTGATCTGAGGGTGAGAAGACATGGCTGCTCCCACCGTGGGCCCAAATCCTGGCACGATGTTGACCACTCCTGGAGGGAATCCGACCTGGATGGAAATTGAGGTGGCATTCAGAGGAGGACAACGGACCAGCGTCTACCACAGACCATGCTTGGGCCAACAGGCCAACCGCTGTAGGATGTCCACGAGCCCAGCGGCACCCTCACTGGGAAGCCAGGGCCTGGGTCATACGTCCACCCCAGGGCCCAGCCCCACACGGCCAGTGTGTGGGCTGGGCCAGGGTGAGGTGCACACCCTTCCTTCCAGGCAGCACTTAATAACCCAAAAGGGCCTCTGACCAAAACGGCGGTGAGCCTCCACAGCCGAGCACCATTCTGTGCGTGTGCACGTGCGTGTGCATGAGTGTGTCTGTGTGTATCTGTCTATGTGTGTGTTGGGAGAAGAGAGATACCTTGCTCACAAGCCCCAAGGCTCAGAGGCACCTGCAAAATATCCTCTATGACCTTCAGCTTTTCATTTTTTAAACCCGCCTCATCAATGTTCCAAATGGCAACAGTGTAATCACTCCCTCAAAGCTCTCAGGCCACACCCCGAACTGGCAGGTCTCAAGGTGGGGACTGCCATCTCTTCCACATTCATGCCTCTTGCTTTGCACATCTGAGGCCTCTTTATTAACCAAGAATACCGCAAGTGAATGAGGTCGGTGGGGGGTGGGGGGGGAGGATGCTATTTAACAAATGTTTAATTAACTTAATATTTAATGCTCTTAAAACACATTATTTTAAAAGGGAAGAATTTAGGACATGGTGCTTGAGTCTTAGTTGTCCTAGGGGCTGTGTTTTACCAGTTCTGTCAGTCTCATGAATATTATGTAATCATGTCCAACATCACCAGTCAAAGGAAAGTGGGAAACTGGTCAGTTCCTGGCCGCTGCTGCAGCCTTACTTCTAAGCGGTAAAGGTCACGCTTCCTGGTCGTATTCGCCCAGCTGAGAAGTGACATGAATGGATCTTTTCTCCCATCCCTCTTCCCTTCCTGTTTCTTTTTTAACCTCTTTGCAGCATACAAGCTGGGCACAGAAGAACTGAAGCATGTTGCCAGGTGTGTCTGGAAGGAGGTGTTTCTTTGGGCGGCTTATTTCCTGGAACGGTGGCTGTCCCGGGGGAGAGGACAGTCGTCGGAGAGCAAGAGCACTGGTGAGTGGGCCCGGCTCGGGGCAGCCGCTTCCGTGGGAGCCCGCAAGACCGTCCCTCCGGGAGAAAACCAGACCATTTCATACGCCACAAATGCAAGGACCAAAGAACCCCAAATATTTGGCTCCCTCTCAAGTGCCCCTCCTACAAATTCTCTAGACACAACATTTGCTCCTCAACCATAGGTTTGAACCCATAATAAGAGTTAAGTATTCTCATTAGGATCAGTGGGAGGAATGGAGTTTCTTCTAGCTCAGTGACCGCAAGCAGGAGAAAGAATGTACAGTTGCCAAGTGAGACACAGAAGCCCTTCCCTCCCACTCAGCTGTGAGCAGGCTGGCACTGTCACCCGCAGCCCAGCTCGACGGGGCAGCATTATCTGGTGCCGGTGGCCTGGTGCCTGGGAGTGGGAATGTTATCAACAACGCACACTATTGTCTTTCTCTTCTGGATGCCTTACCTCCTTGATCAGAGAGCCCAGATAAAGGGCCGTGAGGGGGGTCTGCTCCGCCGGCTTCACAACTACGGTGTTCCCACAGCAGAGAGCCGGGGCCAGCTTCCACACCAGCATCAGCAGAGGGAAGTTCCACTACAACAGAACACAGAGGAACTCGTGGGAGGGCCTAGATCCACCCTGCTCCCCTGTCCTGGAGGCCCCGCGATGCCTCCCCGAAGGGTATTTGCTTCGCAGGGTCTAGATTTGGGGCATAAGAGGTAACACAGGATGGCAATGATCAGAACTTCATTCCTGGGGCACCTGGGTGGCTCAGTCGGCAAAGCGCCTGACTCTTGAGTTCGGCTCAGGTCAAGATCTCACAGTTCTTGAGATGAGCCCCACGTTGGGCTCTGTGATGACAGTGCAGAACCTGCTTGGGATTCCCTTTCTCCTTCTCTCTCTGCCCCTCCCCAGTTCATACTCTCTCTCTCTCTCTCTCTCTCTCTCTCTCTCTCTCTCTCTCTCAAAGATAAATGAATAAACATTAAAATGAAAAAGAAACTCATTCCTGCCCGGTGCTTCCTAAACTGCATTCTGGGAGATGTTAATAGGTAGTCTTTGCAAAGAGGACTCTGCTGTATGTTTATATTTCTGCTATATGTATATATTTCTTCCCCAGCTCTGTCTGGAATTCCTACCATAGACAACAAACATAAGATCTCAGTTCCCAAGGGTCGATATGCTTGGCTAAATGATGGTATTGTTTTGGGTTCACCCCCTAATGGTTGGGGTCCCCTCTTTCCTGGATCCCCACTTCTTAGCATGCAAATACCATCCTCTTTCCCGTCTGACAAGCAAAGCCACACCTTCCCTTGGCCTGTACTGCTTCCAGCAGCTCCCTTCCCTCTCCTCGAAGCTTCTTGGCAGAGGTGTGCCCACGTGCCCAGGTCCCCTCCTGTAAGCCCCAGCAGTGGGGCTTCCACTGCACCCAAATCTCCCGACAACACTGTTAGTGAGCAAATCTAACAGCTGTGTTTCTGTCTTGTTTAATTTCAAGGAAGGAGGTGACCCCATTGATCACAGGAATGATCAATGTCTGGGAATGTATTCCATTCCTGGGATGCCCTTGACCCTTGCTGCTCAGACTTCTCAGTGGGACCCCCTGATAGTCTTTGGGATTTGGCCCCAGGTCCTCTCCTGTCACTCTACAACCCCTCATTGGATGACCCCCCTCCCAACTTGATGGGTGGGAACACCTTTGTCCTGACCATCACCTGTGGGTAGCTCCAACCCTCACCTCTCTCTTGAGCTCTAGACCCAAATATGCAAATGCCTGATGGGACCCACTGGCCCCTCTGCCTCACCTGCCCAGACTTACCTTCATCTTTCACTTCACTCCCCCCAAACCTACTTCTCCCCCCGTCTTCCTCAAATCAACCAGCAACACGATCCACCCAATTCCAGCCAGGACTCACCCCCAACCTCTGATCAGCCACTGAACTCCACCAACTCTACGTCCTTAGGAGCTTTCAAATCCACGCTTCTGCTAGGTCCTCAAATATTTCCTGTCTTATCATTTTCTTGGCGGGGATACCCCCCTCAGCCTTTTAAGTGACCTGCAAGTTTCTCAGGGACAAGGGCTGGACCCTTTTCCTTCAGGCCTTCAGTACCTGGTACCCTGGTGCCATGCCTGGCACACAGTGGACTCTCAACCGTTTGCTGAGTGCACATATCTCCTTCGTCCCTGGCAGCACATTTCCAATCCTCTCCATACACTGTCACTTGTCTGCCCAGCCTCCCGCCCTGGTGTTGCAGTGGCCCGGGGCTTCCTCCAACAGACGGGCAGCATTACCACATTCCCTGGCTCCTGCCAGGCTCCCCACTGCACGGTGAATACAGTCCCAGGCCCTTGGCAGCCACAGCCCACTGGGTCTACACCACCTGATGTGTACACCTCCTCTTCCTCACTTTGTCCCCATCTAAGTGTGGCCTCACCAGCTGTCCTTGCCCTCCAAGTAGCCCAGACAACCCTACACCTTCACTCAGGCTATTCCTGCTGCTTAGAAAACCCACTTTCCTATTGAACCACTCTTTCTCATCCTTCAAGGCTGGCTTATGAAACCACTACTCTAGGCTAAGCCTGCTATTCCTGAGCCCTCTGCTTTGAATCCATGGTGCCTTCTCTTGTGCTCCTGGGGTCGGCCCCTTGAGAACAGGAGCGGGATCTAATCTATCCTGATAACTCTCAAGCACTGAACTCCATGCCACAGAGCAAATGCTCAGTTAATGCTGATGTGATCAAATCAAAACACATCAGAAACAGGTTCCAAAGGCTACAGGGGAATGGGGCGGGATCTACTTGGATCTATCCAGAAAAGTCATCATACTTACCGGAGTGATGGCTCCACACACACCTATAGGTTCATGCCTGGTGAAACATACAACGTTGTCATCTGGAAGAGGTTACATGGAGGAGAACACACTGGGATTAATCTAGGTTAAGGATTTTACGTAGCAAAACAACAAGAAACCCAGAAGCCCACAATGGGATCAGCTCCAAGTCTTGTCTAGTCTACAAAGAAGTGATTTTGAACTCAATTTTAAAAGCAAACTTCCTGGGGCGGTGCCTGGGTGGGGTTCAGTCAGTTAAGCATCCAACTTTGGCTCAGGTCATGATCTCACAGTTCATGAGTTCAAGCCCCAAATCAGGCTCTGTGCTATAAGCACAGAGCCTGCTTTGGATCCACTGCTCCACCGCCCCTCCCCCACTCGTGCTCTCTTTCTCTAAAATAAAAGTAAACATTTTTTTTTTTTTTTAAGTAAAATTCCTTGGGGTGCCTGGGTGGCTCAGCCGGTTAAGCTCTGACTTTGGCCCAGGTCATGATCTCACGGTTCGTGAGTTTGAGCCCCGAGTCGGGCTCTGTGCTGACAGCTCAGAGCCTGGAGCCTGCTTCCAATTCTGTGTCTCTTTCCCACTAGCTCGCACGAGCGCGTGCTCTCTCTCTCTCTCAAAAATAAATGAACATTAAAAAAAGAATTAAAAAAGAAAAAACTCCTTAAGAGAAGAAATCAGCACAGCACCATTTCCTTTGGGGACAGGGAAGGCGCCTTGAAGGGGAAACCAGGGGTGCTATGAAGAGGCTACCTGGAGTGACGAGAAGACAGGGCCCCCAGAAGGCCCAGATGAGGCTAGGAGTCTTGCGCTGGCTCACCTGTGGGGATGGTCCGTCCCTGTATTTTGTCAGCCCACCCTGCAAAGTATCTGAGGGTTTTCACACAGCCCTCTAGGTCGATGAAAAAGGCATGAAGGAATGGCTTCCCTGTGTCCATCGTTTCCAGGGTCTGCAACATGAAGATAGCATCTATTTTAGACATAGTTTCCCTTTTGGCTGTCGGGCTGTTAAAGACAGGGGACAGGGGAGGAGAGCACAGCCCTAGAACACTGTGTGTGCAATGTTCTGCGTGTCCCTTCAGAAAGCAAGACACACATTTCCCATAAGACCTATCTCAGATGGTCGAGGATTTCTTTCCCTTCAAAACACCTCGATCTGGGGGGCTGGCCAGAGCATGGGCAGGTGTCCCCGTGAAGGACAGTGGATAGAAGTCTGATCTGGAGCCTCACTGGGAAGGAGGACACGGTAGCATTTGGTCTTCTGCCTGGAGCACAGTTGTCTCGCTCTGTGACCTGGCCACACGTTGTGCATTTCCCGGGAAGCTCCTGGAAGGTTAGGCTTTGGGGAGGCTGGACAAAGGCTGGCTTCCCCTGACAAAAGGGGGGATGCGGTTCTTCTTTCTTGGCTAGGCTGACCCTTGTGGCTGTGGAAAGAGTGACAGAGCCCCAAAGGGTAGTGCCACCAGCCAAAGGCGCAGTCCTCCCCAACTGGGCTGCCCAAGCCGGATGCGCCGTCGGTCGGAAGGGAGCAGGCTCGCCCTTGGCAGTGAGGGAGGTGATTACCCAGGGCGAGTGCGCAGCCACTCAATGGTCCGGATTCTTTTCTATTTCCAGCCGGGGTTTAAGAGAACCCCTTTGTCCCTTGGACAAGCGGCCCCAGTTGAGTCCAGCGCTGAGACTGCCTGTCATCCATTCATCCATCTCTGCAGGAAGTGGCCACCCTGACACATAGCCTGGGGCTGGATTCTCATTTTACTGTCGATGCAGTGAGAGGGTGACTTACTAGGGAAGAGATGCCCCCTCCACGTGCACCTGTGTGTGCCTCATCTCTGAGCTTGACACCTGTGTTCCCACGTTGAGGTGCCGACACCACGGCTAATGGAGCCAGGTGACACCCAAGGTCACCTAGCGGGTCAGTGGCACTGAATTCAGGGCATCAAACTTCCAGCCGGCATAGTGACTACTCCTGAGGTGGCTGCCCCCAGACATTTGCATCTGGGAAGATTGGAGAATGGCCACACAGGGTGCTCGGGGCAGCTCTGTCAGAACTGGGGTTCCAAGCATTTCTAAACAGGAGCAACCGCTTCCCTCGCTGAGCTGCGAGCCCCTGAATCCCTCTCTGCCTCAGTTTCCTCATCTGTAAAATGAGAATAATCATAATAATAATAATAATAACAATAATACTAATAACTACTACTAATAGTAGTACTTGTCTCATGGGGCTAGTGGGGGGGCTAGAGCAGGGCCCGCCCACAGGAAGTGCCATGTTAACTGTTGCCGGTGACAGCTGTATGATCATGATCATCTTCCTTTCGGGAGGCTTCGTTTTGGGCAATCCTTACTTGGGGACACTGAAGAGAGAGAGGACTGTGAGTTGCTGAAGATGACAGGGCTGGTCTGGGTCTGGGGTGTGTCCCACCCCCAGCGGATGCTGTTCAGGGACCAAGTGAGGCCAACGTAAGATCCAGTGTGCCGTCCCTTACGCTCCTATCGATTCCATGTTGAAACTTTTATCTTCCCACAGGAAACCCAAGCATTGCAAATAACGCCCCAAAGTCCAGGACGGGCCTACTCCTGACAGCATCTGCATATCTATCGATGGAATGAGGGAATCATTCTTGGCCTTTTTCTGGGATGGGACAAGGAGGAGAAAGGCAGAAGACTATGGCGTACCATGGTAGAGAAGTCCTGCCTCCAGTCCTGGCTTACCTCCTCTGGCTGGATAACCTTGCACAGGATACCTAACCTCTCTGGGCCTCAGTATCTTCATCTCTGAAATGGGATAATGAATGTGCAGGCCAAGTGCAACACAGGCCTGGTACATGGTGAGGATTCAGCAAGCATCGGCTAGCTGTCACTATTAACTTGGGCCACTTTGCTTCCCAGAGGGATGACATGAATTTGCCAGGTTGGTTTTATGGAATCTGTCCAAGCAAAACCAGGGTCATAATAGGTTTAGACAGGAAATTCTTTTGAAACGTTAAAAAAAAAAAAAAGAAAAAGAGAAAGAAAAAGAATCACAGATGAGTGTACAGGGTTGAACCTGAGATATCAAGTGTTAGCTACTGATTGGGACTTGTAAACAGTTATTGTGGCTGGACCAGGAGTGAACCGCAGCCACTCCTGCGTTTACTTCCTCTAACATTTTAAGAGAAAAATATGCCTTCAGAAAAACGAATGCATCGTAACCTTCAGATACTAAAGAATGAGGCAAAGTGCGAAGGAACCTGTCCCTTCACTCAAGTCAGTATTCTAAGGCTTAAAATGAGGAGGCCCAGAAATGGGGCTTGGGTTGAAAAGAGAGTCAACAGGGAGGGCCCCTATTTGGGGCGCTTCCAGAGAGAGCACCCACAGAGCCAGAGTCTGGGCCCCAGGTGCCTCAGGAAGGGGGAGAAAGCTGGGGCTGCCGGATCGCCCACATCTGTTTCTAAACATTGAACACAGAAGTAAATACGTAGCTCTGTCAAAACCACTGAGCCGGCAAGAGAACATGATGGAAAGAAGCACTACGCTGCATGAAAATGCAAGAAAACCATATCAAGGTGGAGGGTGAGGGTATTTTCCTATGATGTGGTCCTGGTTTGAAAAACATATTTCCCACTAATTCTCTTGTTCCTTTCACGATGTGGCAAAGAGCCGGATCTTGTTTCTCGTGCACAGCCAGGTCCCGACAACGCAGGCAACTCGCTCCGTCTATCACGACCCAGTCCTGCCGGCCCGTGGGGCGGGCTGCCGGCGAAGGTGGTTCTATGGCCACTGCTCCCTAAGACGATACTGACACTTGAGGACAGGGTGGGGAGGGGTGCCCAGGGCACATCCTCTCCCGCCTGCTATTAGTCCCCACGGACATTGCAGACTGATGAGCTCATGCTGGGTGAAAACAGAAATGTTTTTGAAAAAGCCAGTCTGGCAGCTTGAGAGTTGAGGCTGGCTTTCGTTGCAGGAAGAAACCAGAGGCTCCTCGGACAGAAACGCTGACCTTGAGGGAGCCACCCCTCACCCGGATTTGGGGCACACATGCTGGCAAGGGCCGACTGGGGAGGAAGGAAGGAAGGAAGGAAGGAAGGAAGGAAGGAAGGAAGGAAGGAAGGAAAGCTCAGATCTCTGTGCAGATACACCCTCTGGACATTGCACCTAAGAGCAGGACCCGAGATGCAGGGTTCTTGAGCCCTCCACCCCCAAAACACACATCCAGGGACAAAAACAATCTCAGTGTCCTGGATGACGCTGTTCTCCATGATGGTAGATATTCTATGGCTCGTTCCAGACACCCGATCAAGAAAGGAAAGAACCATTTTTCCAAATCAGAGGCTGAAAAGGAGATTTTTCTCCCCTACCAACTGGGCCTCAAGGTTTGGAGCAAGTTTTAAACAGGAGTCAAAGCCATTGGAGGGCAGCATGTGGAGGGTGCAGAGGACCTCAAGGCAGGAGATGGCCCTGAAATTTCCTCTGCTCACTCATTGCAAGACTAAAGGAAGGTCTTAGGACCCCTGTGAATAATGCATTTACAACCTATAATTGTCTTCACAGTCCGGTCTGATCGGAGCAGCCCTACCTCATGGGGTGGGTGGAATTCATGTGCCCATTTTGCAGCAGCAGAACTAAGATTACTAGAAATTACTGGCCAGGAGGGTATAGAGCTGGGTGTGCAGCATTATTTATGAGGAATGCTGTTACCAATAATACCTGTCATCTAGTTAGTGATTACTGCATGCCAGGGCCTCTGCTAAGGATTTTAAATGGAGCACTCTCACAACATTTAAATACAATTCTTACTGATATCTTCCACAAAGAAATATATGCTCAGAAAAGTACAGCAACTTGTCCAAAGCCACGCAGCTAGCAAGTGGCAGAGGCGGGATCCGAATTGATTTTTAAGTCATAGGGGAACAGTTTTTTCTATGTTGAATGGCAGCATTTATCTTAATAAATATTCAAAAAATATATACACCAGCACATTAAATCTGTAATGTCATGGATAGTGTCACTTAGGAGGAAGTTAAACTTAACTTTGAAAGAGATCTCATGTGAAAAAAAAATTAATGTCATAAACATACAGGTGCAGGGCCAGGATATGGCCTAGCTCATCTGGCTGGCTGTGACTATGAGTCTGGGAACCGCCAACGCAGCTGAACTGCATCCAGGCAACTTCTTGGTCCCGAATGTGAACTTCAGGGGGCAACAGTCTGACTTCAAAACCAAACAGGTGACGGTGGAGGGCGTGGACACGTGCCTACTGCCAGAGAGCCATACCTCAAAGGGCCTAACACATCCACTTCCACACAAAACCAGCACCCTGGGTCTCCCCCCATACTCCATGGGGGACAGGCCCCCTCTGTGAGGCCAGCCAGGCATCCCACACCTGCCCGCCGACGCGCGCGTACTCACAGCCAAGACGGTGCGGTCCCTCTCCACAAGGTCAGCCAACTGATTCAGCAGCCGGCCACGGCCCAGCGCATCCAGGCGGCGCCACGGGGAGCCCCTCTGGAAGGCGGCTTGTGCGGCCTCCACTGCCTTGTCCACGTCGGGCTGAAAACCAGAGTGAGTGTATCATCTTTTGCTGTGACTGCATTTTGGGAGAACTCAGCTGTCCGTTTCGGAGAACAGCAGAGACATGCCTCCATCACACAAGCAGAGGAAGGGGGTTGGGGGCAATCGGAAAATGGCAGCTACGTTTCAAATCTCTGGACCTGTTCGGGGCTTCAGCGTGACTTTCTGCTTCTTTACATCTTAGGTCTTTTTCAAGATTCCTACAATGGCCAAGCATGAACCATCCTTCTGATTATAAAAGCATTTTAAAATAGTTTCTAAAACTACCGACCTTAATTATTTTTCTTGGTGATCCAAGTAGGAAAAGATTTTTCCACTTGCTAGCTCAGTCTGGACACACACTCCCACAGTTATTCAATTAAGTGGGGAAATGTCTGTCTTTTTATTTTAGCTTGGCATTGTATTCAAGCTGAGGACTCTGGTCCCATAGTGAGAATGGGGCAGGAGTGCTTCTTGGGAACTGACCACATCGGAAAAGTCCACAGACGGGGAGGATCTGGAACTTTTCTCTCCCTTCAGCCTCACCTACCCCCCTGGGGGCAGAAGTATTGCACCATTTTATAGACAAGGAACTGGATTTTCTGCGCACCCATAGAATTATAATCAAAACTTCTTCGTAAAAGGAAGGAGGTGAGAATTATTTAGAGTTGTTTAAGGTCACCCATTCTTATTTCAGGAAAATGAGTTCAAGGCTCTGATTGCTGATGGGCAAAAGCTCATCCCCCAGGCCCCTCAGAGCCTCATTTCCCTAGGAAGGTGATGCCGGATGCAATCAAGAGGGGGACACCACCAAGATTCTCTGTCTCCAAAGCATGCTTGGAGGCCACGGAAAACTTGGGCAAAGGAGATATTAAGACTTTGAATTCCTTGTTCCAGGCTCTGGGAGCCAGAGCCTCTCCAGGCACAGGGGACAGGACAGCCTCTGATTCCACGGGCTCAGAGCACTCACCCAGACCAAGAGAAAAGCCAGAGCCTGAGGCAGGGATCTCATTCTCCTCCTTGATTCTTGTGTAATGATGCACCTGGGAATCACCCACTGGGAATCCTGCTCTGTGCCCCCACACCCCAGCCACCCCATGTACTGACATCATATAAAGATGAGCTTCCCGATGCTATTATCTTTGTAAATACAGCTTAGCCTGAAGCACTACACACAGAAGGGTCTGTATAGGTAGAACCACTGTGTTTCCTGCCTGGCACAGAACTATTACTGGTGGGATCAAATTCAAGCCTATTTTACACATGTCTTTCACCCTGTCCACATTCGACATTACCCATACGCTTATAAGAACATCAGATGATTACTCTAGTGGTGGAGGAGAGGTTTCAATTTCCCTTCCCTCCTTAGAAAAGCTTTACCTTCAACATTTCTTCTAATGGCACGTATATTTAAAAGATACTTTCCGGCTTTGAAACGTATCAAGGACACATCCAGAAGACATAGATATATATGCATAATTATATAGTTTTACGGTTATATAGTTGTTTTAAATAGTTATAAAGACTATAGCTTCACATGATCATTTCAGGTTCTGACAGAAGAGAAATCTGGCCACTGAGTCTTTTTCCCTTCAAGTCTTTTTTTT